CCCCATCTCACATACTTTGGACATGTTATCAGGAGGGACCAATCCCTGGAGAAGGACATCATGCTTGGTAAATTAGAGGGTCAGCAAAAAAGAGGAAGACCCTCAGCGAGATGGATTGACACAGTGGCTGCAACCGTGGGCTCAAGCATAGCAGCGATTGTGAGGATGGCACAGGACTGGCCAGTGTTTTGTTCTGTTGTACACAGGGTCACTATGAGTCAGAACCTACTCGACGGCACTTAACAACAATGAGGCGTCTGGGGGCAGTGGTGGTTCAGTGGTAGAATTATCACGTTCCATGTGGGAGAGCCGGGTTCAGTTCCCAGCAAATGCACTTCATGCGCAGCTACCACCCACCTGTCAGTGGAGGCTTGCAGTGTTGCTATGATGCTGGACAGGTTTCAGTGAAGCTTTGAGACTAAGATGGGCTAGGAAGAAAGGCCTGGTGATGTACTTCTGAAAATCAGCCAATGAAAATCCCATGGATCACAACGGTCAGTTATGTATGGGGTTGCCATGAGTTGGGGGCCGACTTAATGGCAGCTAACAACAACAATAAGGAAACTGGTGGGAAGGCCCTCGGTAAAGTATTTCCGTCAATCAGCCAGGACAAGAGGCTTTCTGTATCACATGCATGGACTTGGCCTCATTTTCTGATCCTCATTGATCACACTGACCTTCTCGGTCTCCACACCTTGAACTCTGCGTGCCTGAACCAGTCTCTAGCCTCAGCTCTCCTGCCCCTTCAGTCTGGAGCCTTCACCTTGATGTGCCATGCTTGGCTACAGTCCCGAGTCCTTGATCTACATGCTTCTAGCAAAACACTCCTAAAGAGGACATGATGGTTTCCTAAACAAAGAAAAGAAAGATAGCTTTTAAAGATTTTGCTAAAAGTACATTTTCTGGAGGAATTATTGGACGGTGAAACTCAGGACAAGTTCTAAGTTTCCTGTGTTTTGAACAAATATGGTGATCAGGGCCAGATCTCCTCTGGTTACTCTGTGGAACTCGTTAATTTTGTCTCCCTTCCCACTGTGCCCATACCTAATCACACTGCAAATTAGAAAGGAATATAATTTACTAAATATAGTATTTTCAGACACTTGAGCATCATCTTCTCAACCAGGTAGCACCTGTATTATTATTTATTTCATATGTTTCCTTAAGTAGACTCACTTTTTAAAAGTTTTGCTTATTCTAAGCAATAATATCCATGATATCATAGTTCGTTGTCATAATTGTATTTTTATAATTATATTAAAATAAATACATATGCATGTGGAAGAGGACCAAAGCTCCACTTCTAAGGTTTTTTTCTGGTTAAATTTTAGACACTACCAGCAGCAATTTGGGGCCCTGGCGGCACAGTGGTGAAGTGTTTGGCTGCTAACTGAAAGGTCGGCAGTTCAAATTCACCAGCCATTCCTTGAAGCCCTATGGGGCGGTTCTACTCTGTCCCATAGGGTTGCTATGCGTCGGAATCAACTCGATGGCAGCGGGTTTGTTTGTTTGTTTTGGTTTTTAGCAGCACTTTTAATGTGTTTTAAGCTTGTAAACAGCTTCAGCAAGATGGCAAATCCTGAGTCGTTTCAAATACCAGAAGCTGCTCTGTGGTTTTTATAATACTGACAAAGGGGCTTAGCTTTATGAAGGAAAATAATGTAAGAAAAGAATACGGCAGTAAATGCTTCAAAAGTTTAGTTCCATCTGAAGTTAAGTACAGTTCATGAAGTATCACTATCAGCTACATTAACTGAGATTTATGGCTTTTCCATGAGGATCCAAAACAAGTTTCCTAGCATCAACATTTATGTTTTAGTTGCATGGAAATAATTTGGTGGCAAGAAAGTTTTTATTTTTTAATAGGAAAACACAACAGAAAAAACAAAAAACCTGTCATTTGTGACAGAGAACAAAGCATGGTCAGGCTTGCTTGACTCCTTGAGTTCGTTTTGTTAGCTAACCAAAGCTTTCGTTTAGTTCACTGAGTTGTAAATTCAGTTTTCTTCTGAGCACTCAGAAGTCTGTGTCTAACTAAACAAAGTACTTTTTAGGGCTCAATGATTGGGTTTGTGTCTTAGTTATCCAGTGCTTCTATAATAGAAATACCACAAGTGGGTAGCTTTAACAAACAAATTTATTTTCTCACAGTTCAGGAGGCTGAATTTTGGGTGCTAGCTCTAGGGGAAGGCTTTCTCTCTCTGTCAGCTCTAGAGGAAGGTCTTTGTCTCTTTGAGCTTTTGCTTCTGGGCGATCTTCATGTGGCTTGGCATGTGTCTTCCCCATCTGCTCTGCTGGCTTGTTTAATCTCCTTTATAGCTCAAAAGAGATTGACTCAAGACACACCCTACACTAATCCTGTCTCATTAACATAACAAAGACAACCTATTCCCAAATGGAATT